TATATATATATGCGAATTGAAACATGGGTGTTTTGTTTCTTCCGGGCGGCTCTCGAACCCAATACAACCAGAAATTGCAATCTACGTATGGAGGGAAAAAATGAACAAAAAATGAACAACAATGAATTAAAAGAAATAAAATGGATTAATAACCAAAAGGAATGAAATCAATTCGAACTGTCGGTACGCTTACACATTCCTTTTGAGACCAAACAAGGAATGTAATCACTGTTAAATTGTGGTTAATGTGGCAACAGTGTCACGCATGATAAATCGCATTTCGGCCGAGCATAGATCTGTCAACCAAACTATTGTTCACTGTTGACAATAATGCATGGTCAATGGTGCTATGCAATGGTTTTATTGTTTTCGCTTTATATAATGCAGCTGGAAATGGATTGGGAGTCTAATTTTTCAAGCCTCCCACAGAGAATACATGTGGTGGCTACAAATATAAAATATGTGTAGATTATGCACATGCGAATTTCAAAAGATAGGTGGTGAATCTTTTGGATGCCAGTGATATATTCTCCTGCAGTTTTCGGCCGGGTAGGGGCGCTTTTTTTTATTTATAAATAATTGAGGGGGATCGTGAGTAAAGAGTTTTAGGCTATGAATCTTTATTTTACGAATCTTGGAGCAGTAGACCGTTTATACAACCAATCAAATGTAATTACCTTCGCTTCCACATTTTTTTTCTTCGGCGAAGTAAAAACTGCTGCCTATGCCGGAATAAGTCTGTTTCAGGCTTCAGTGGTGTTTCAATCAAACACACACACAGACGCATACACACACACACACACACACTACAGTTCAGAAGTTTTAATCTACCCCCAGAATTAGCATAGGATGAACTTGACAGGAGAGTGAAACCTTTCCTTCTAAAAAAAAAAGAAAAAGAGCCCTTAGATTCATTGAAAAAAAAGAATAGAATCAATTATGAAACTGTTGAAACTTGGATAAGCATGGAATAATAATAATACAACACAAAATGTACGTAAACAAAATGTATTGAAACAAGGAAAAGGTACACAATATTTACAGTTAGTTTTGGTATATTCTTGGGAAGACTGTTCCTGTAGAATGGGTTGACTTAATCGCAGTCGGGCAGAGTATCTGGATTGGATCTCTTCTTACTTCCTCCATCGTCTTCCCGGTACCAACCCATATATGGTCGGTACTGCTCTATGTAAATTAGGTGGATCGTACCACAACAGAAACCTAAACTTTAAGAAACCTTTGCAACGAATTCCAAAATAGCCCTATTATAATATTTTCTTATCTTGTACTTCTGAACGGTTTTTTGCTTCCTAATCAGATGAGATCTTCAAAAATTTATGAACACAGAATCTTTTTGTAGCATTCATCTATAGAACTCTGGCAATTTTTAAAGAGCTAAAAAGTTCTGAGACTAACCTGTAAGATATGAGACAATATCAGGGACGGTATAAGAATTGAAGAACTGCTTCAGTTATTCCAGCTAATGGCATTTGCATCAGAAATAAGAGATCCAGCAAATATAAAGAAGCTTATCTAGTTCCATATTTGATTTATACTGATGATGATACCCCACCCCACAAATCTATGAGTCGGGAACAAAAATCTACTACATCTCAATTTTCAAGGTAGTTTTTCATATAAAATACAAATTTTATTGTAACCTAATTATGTACTCTAATGGATCATATACAATATAGGCAAACAACTCAACTAGAAAAATTAAAAATAAAGAAAATGTATCTAAATACAAATTAGATGCATATAAATATTAGATGTCATAATAGATCATTCCATTTTAAATAAATCAACAAAGTTTTTGCAGTAATTTTTGTCATCAACTTGAGATTTCTCTTGTTAAAGAGTTTAATAATTTTATCACATTGAACATTATGGATAAAAAATAGTGATTTTTTTTTTACTTAGCATGACAAAACAAATTCATGGATTTGGACATAAAAAGGCCCCTGAATGACATTAAAATCCACAAAAATTTGTCACCCTTTAACAGTCATGTTGTAATCTAGGGAAGGTTACTGAATCGAATAATCACATGAAGGCTGGTAATGAACAATAATACTTAAGGCAAGAACAACACATATAAGATTCACCAGTGGTGATTAGAAGAAGAAGTTAACTGCTAGAAGTGAGCCAAGTGAATTCCACAATGAATCGCCAACGGCAGGATATCTAGCAAATGCCCCACGTGGTCAGATGTGGCACAGGCCCGAATTTAATGTGGGGTATCCGAGCCCGTGGGCTCGGCCAAAAAAATCCCCGTAGACCCTTTATAAAAACGTTGTCAGGTAGCTGTTTCCCGTGACAAACCTCTGCCCTTCGACACAGCCTCGTCTGGGGATCCTCTCTGTCCGGAGACAGAGAGTTTTACCAGCACAGCTGGAGACGAATTTCCAACTGCAGACCAACATACAGTATTTACTACTGTGTTTGAGTGAATGGGGAAATGCTCATTACCGCCCGTAGGTATGCTACAACACAACGTCAATCGTCATTTTTTGTCTTCCTGAATTTATTCTTTTTTAATCATTTCACCCCGATAAAGGCAATAAAACCACTACAATGCAAGGAGTTACAGAGTGTTAAGAGTATACGAGAAAAATATTCAGAAGAGAGAACAGTAAAAGAACAAGAATTAAGACAGAAGATAACGATTGGCATTGTAATTTTTTGAAGGTCAAAGTTGACTGTGAAAGCAAGAAGCCAAGAGAGAGATCCGCAAGTGAGATCGAAAAAACCTTGCCTCCCATCTAGTACCACGTTTAAATTCATAAAGTCTAGGTACCATAGCGGAAAGTAATATTTATCCTGTTTAATACACAGAAATGTGTCACAAGGCCGAAGTGGGTATTGGAGAAAGGACGGTCTTCTTCTGTCTTAACTATAACTTCGCTAGCCACAAACACTGACCCAATCGTACGAACAATATTCCTTAAACCAAAACAACACATTCATACGTACCTTTCTTGGTACATTCACCATAATACCTCATTGTCTCTATGAAAATACTAACTAGTCCCTATATTTACAATTGATTGTCTCCGGGGTGTTGTAAGGGGTACCCAGTAAGGATCGAATTCACTATTCATTTTTAATTGTTTTAGCAAGACAAGCTTGCTAACCATTACACCACCACGAGGTGCCCTAATTGATTTTCCAAGCGTAGCTTAGATGTGGCACAAGGCCGAAAGTATGGGACACCCAGTGAGGATCGAATTCACTACTCAGTCGTAATTGTTCTAGGGAAACAAGCTTGCTAACCATTACACCACGCCAATACCATAGCGAAAGGTTCATCAGAACAATTACCATGAAATTATATACAGAAAAATACACAGGGAAGCTACATTCTGCCCACTAACGTTTGAACAAATATAACACTAACGCTCTTTCTCCTTCTCTATGGATCTATATATATATATATATATATATACGCATATATGTAGGTCTGTTTCTGATTACGCAGTTAACGTGTCGAATAATGTTATGAAAAAGCATGAAAAAAGAAATGAATCATTTCTCATTCCAGGTGGGGATGATTTTCAATTTCATGTAAGCCCTTAGGGAAAAAATGTCGCATCCATGCTTACCTTATCATTTTGCACGGGACAAAGATGTTGACAAAATATAACAGACGATGAGAGAGGAAAAGAGAAAGACGGTAAATTAAATCGAATCTCGTTTCCTTTCCAACATTTCCTTCATTCTTCAGAGGATCTAATCTATATAAATATAAATAATTATATATATATATATATATATATATGGGGGTATAAGTATATTTATAAATATATATATATATATATATATATATATATATATATATATATATATATATAATTATTTATATATTATATGCGCGGTACTTAAATAATATTTATGTTGGTCACACCACAAATACGCTTTCACGACGCTTGACTCTAACATTTTTAGACATTTAAAACAACATGCCTGCCCACGTACTCAATTCCGGGACATCCTTGTTGACAACACAATTATACTTAAACATGAAAACAATAAATAAAAACTAAAAATTTTTGAAGCTATATACATAAAACAGTTGAAACCTAATCTAAACAAAATAAACTATGAAAACTCCACAAATATACTCAAATGCCTATCATTGATAACAGAAGCCTTTGGTTTATACCAAGAGCTTCCCATTCTTAACACTTCTCGTTTTCGCTCTCGATCATGTGTGACGTCATGAGACTCGGTGCGATTTTCGCTTCCAATGTCTGGTATGAACGATTTTGACGTTGCTTTGAAATTTTCCATGCAAACAAAAACAGACTATCATTATTGCCATGTCCGTGTATTGTTTAGTATATTGTAATGTTATTGTCATCTTTAATGATCGCTTACGTAAGCCGAAAAGCTTAGATAGGATTAAAAAACGTATCAATAAAACGTATAGATAAATATATATATATATATAATATATATATATATATATATATATATATATATATATATATATATATATATATATATATATATATATATGGTAGTGGATAGCGACTCGGATTGAGGAATCGGAGAGTCGAGTTCGATTTCCAGTCGAATACATTACATTCAATACGTGGTAATACCCTTGAAAAAAAAAAATCCTCTTTTTCCCGCTTCAGCTATGGGTAAATATCAGAACAGACTGGGTTCTATATCCTTAGATAGCAACTTTTCGGGGAGAAGGACAACTCTGAATTCATTACCTGCGGAGGGTCGTTTGTACCAGTCTCTCTACTCGGCTCTGCGAAAAGTGAGTTTGGTTCTGCACAAAGTTGTCAGCACTATAATAAAATCATATGTGCAGGTGTTTGGCTGTCGGTTTCTAGGAACTGAGTTGCTTGAACCTCATACGCCGTAAAAACGACGAGAGTCCAGCATATATATATATATATATATATATATATATATATATATATATAATGTCAGTTTCATAAAAAATGACTGACAGGGGATTGAGATTAAGTTATTTATTCCATTTTTCTTCGTTTACGGGTTTTCTTTTCTGGACATAAATTGCGTAAAAACTGTCCGAATGTTCTATAACGGTTTCGGCTATTCTATTAAACTCTTTTTTTTTTACTTCTGGGCCCTCTTGTAGAATGAAGTAAAACTTTAGAGCTCACTTTCAATTTTAATGAGATAAAATAGTCGTCAAATTTTAAAATAGAAAAAATAGTCAGCTGAAAATTTGTTTTTAAAACATTAGGTTGTATATTTAAATATATTTGGGTTAAACATGCGCTTGATGTTTTTTGGTAACTTTTCGAATGATAGGCTTTATATATTACCCTTTGAGGAAATCAAAGGGGAAAGATTTATCCCCTCTTTATTAAACACTATCAGTAGAGCCCGGCGTTGTCCGGGGATGTAACAGTAAGAGATAGATCAAGTATCGACCATCATAAAGACTGAAAAATAAAATTGACAAAGATTATTGTTTAAGGTTGACGGACACGCATGTCTTAATTAGTTTTTTTTTTTTTTCTTCTTTTTGTTTTTTTGTTTTTTACGAATTGGTCAAACCCAAACGTTATGAGTCTACCGATTGAATAGAATTTTATTATAAACAATTGTCTTGTAAATGGGATTTTTAAAGCATTCTGAATGTAAAAATAAAGAAAAAAGTGTGCAAGACAATAAGTAAACACAACCTGCCAAAAAGAAAAGTGAAATTTTGTTGAAATCGGTTGAAAAATGTAGGAAATCCGATCCCATATATAAACGAACACACACACACACACAAACAAACCTGGGTTTTATAATAAGTATAACTCAATATTAATAAGTATAACTCGATATGAGTTGTCCCCCTTTCATTAATGCCTCTTAATCGTGTTTTCAAATTGATTTCATGCAAAAACAATTGTGTTTTCCCATGTTTGGCGCTGTCAGAACCACCGCAAGGTAATTTTACGTAGTCCTGTGAAGTTTTGTTGAAATCAGTTGAAAAATGTAGGAAATCCGATCCAATATATAAACGAACAGACACACACACACGCGCGCGCGCGCACACACACACACAAGCTGGGTTTTATAATAAGTATGATTAAGGAATTTAACATCTAGTTTAAAATATCAAATGATAAAGACTTGATTTAAAGGAGTACAGAATTATTTTCAATTCGTAATTTATTTCAACTCGGTACTAGTTTCAACTTGGAACTAATTTCAACTCGATTTAAAATCTAAAAGGATTTAGTCATTTGTTGGGTAACCTTTTACTTTAATAACGGCCTTAATTCTTTGTTGTATGCTATAGACTAAATTCTTTAGTAAGTCAATGTACTTCACCAGATTTTTTCAGCATTCCGTCATTTCGCGAAAATCTCAACTTCCGTGTTAAATTTCCTATTGGGTTCTATAGCCATGGATGGCAACTGGTCTAGGAGAAGGACAACTCTGAATTCAAAACCTGCGGAGGGTCGTTTAGGAAACTTGTGGCACTTAGTGGACGAGCTCTCTGTATTCGGGCCTTCGAAAAGTTTGGATGGTCCTGCACAAAACCTTCCTCAATATAATCAAATCAAATTGTCGGGCTGTTGGTTTCCTGGGAACTGATCTGTTTGACCCTCATACGTCGAATTCGACGGGAGAGTCGAGTATATATATATATATATATATATATATATATATATGTGTGTGTGTGTGTGTGTGTGTGTGTGTGTGTGTGTGTGTTGTTCTAAAGTACTTATTTATTTTTATTATCTGATTTATTACGCAAGAGTTTATTATGAGATTTACATTCACAGACAGATGAGAAAAGTACACAGAGAAAGTACTGAAGAGCTTTTGATGAATAATTAAAAATAAACAGTGATAGATAGATAGATAGATAGATAGATAGATAGATAGATAGATAGATATGGACAGAATTAGATAGATAGATAGATAGATAGATAGATAGATAGATAGATAGATAGATATGGACAGAATTAGATAGATAGATAGATAGATAGATAGATAGATAGATAGATAGATAGATATCATCTGTCTATATTTCTGTGATTATAACTATTTACACTGTTTATTTACATCATTCGGACACATAGCCTAGTTGATAAAAGCGTCAGGTGAGTGATCCAAAACCTGCCTTGACCTATAAAGTTGTGAGTTCAATACCTGGTCACAGTAAAGTGAGCAAAAATTAAGAGATTAGAGTCATTAAACGGAATCAACTATAACTGAGATATCCAAAAAACGCATGGCAGGTGGGATTAGAACAATCTACCCGTAGACTAAATTAATGATTCGGGTAAATTCCAACGTATATCACCTGGTGAAAGCCTTACAACAGCTGAAACGTCGTGAATATGGCAATAAAAATGAGGACAGTAGACCGAATAAGATATATGGAAACAGACTAGGATAGATAGATAGATAGATATGAACGGACTAGGGAAGAGAGATAGATGAGAAGCTGAAACAAGGCTTGGCTGGACATTGAATTCAAGGTGGTTTAATGAACAGCGTCTTCGAATGAAACATCGGAGACTTGTGATAGCACGGAACTCAAGATTTCAGGAACAGACAGATAAATAGATAAGAAAGACAGACATACAGACCGAAAGATAAATAAGAACAGACATAGATAGATAGATAGATAGATAGAGAGAGAGAACAGACTGAGATAGATAGATAGATAGATAAATAGATAGATAGATAAAGAACAGACTGGGATAGATAGATAGATAGATAGATAGATAAGAACAGACTTAGATAGATAGATAGATAAGAACAGACTTAGATAGATAGATAGATAGATAGATAGATAGATAGGAATGGACAAGGTAAGAGAGATAGATGAGAAGCTGAAATAGGTTTGGCTGGTCAATGAATTCAAGGTGGTGTAATGAACAGCGACTTGGAATGAAACCTCGGAGACTTGCGACTGCGTGGATCTCAAGATTTCAGGAATTGACTGCATCGTTCTTATGATATTCACTGTATAAAAATTCACTATTAAAATTCATGTGTGAATTGACAAGAAAGAGTGTTATATTAATATGTCTTGTAAAAAATCCTTTTACTTCTTTTTCATTAAGTTTTGGAATTATTGATGCACTTCATATATATATATATATATATATATATATATTATTACCTGGTGCTACGTTTCAATAAAATACATTAATTGCGCAAGTCTTGCTGCTGGTGTTATTTAATAGCTGTCACGTATAAAACTTCGAAACTGGAATGCGATTACGAGATGATGTAGATTCTTGACGCCATATAAATATTTTATTCGGTATTTTCTACCTCTTTATGCCTTTCACCACTTCTAAAATGCTTTCGGGCCAACGGAAATAGCTATTTATTAAGTATGAAACTGGGAAAAGAGAAAAAGTATTTGTCTTAAGTTCTCCGAAAGATATTTTGTATGGTCTTGTTTTTACGCTCCATTTTCATCTGTAGTCGCCAATATGACCCATGGGTTTCTTGCCAATGGATATTTCATCGAACATTGGATGAAGTTGATAAATAACGTAATGGAGATATGGCCTTTTTTTTATACCGTATTTTATTATTTATTACCAGAAAGAGACAGATGGAATTTTTAGGACACTTTTGAGGAAAGATTGGTTAAAGAATTTGACACGCACAAGACAAAGTTCAAGGCAACGCGAAAACTAACTAGGTATTTACTCTGTTTCCCAACTAAGACGAGTTGTGAAATAAGGTCTTTTTAATGGTGGGGGCCCGAGCGCTTACAACCAGGCAACGAACAAAAATGGCCCGCAGCGCCCGGAGCGCCCGCAGCGCCCGCAACCCTCGGTTGCGCTGGTCTCGATGCGAGCACCGATCCCTCTTTCTGGTGCAATGAGAGGGCGCAGTCGCGGGCAACTGTCCCCCAGAGCTTAGCACCTCTCAGTATAAATTTCCTCAGTTGCGACTTTGTCCTTTGACGGAGTTGCCTCTAAGTACACTCTGCCGAAAGACAGAGACGCAACACGCGTAACCTTACTATCGATCTTGTGTAAATGGATGGCAGAACAGTGATAGGAAATTGTGTTGGACCATATGAACGGAGACAGTTAATAAAATAAAAAAGACATCACAATTAAGATGTCTTAAAAGGTTTTATACATAACCGAATGGAGAGATGGACTTATTTTTGTCTATGTTATTTTTTCATTATTCGGACTATTGTCCTCATCTTTGTCGCCATATTTATCACAACGTTTCGGCCGTTGTACGCCCCGGCCTTCTTCAGGTGGTTGGAATTTCGAACTGAACCCCTTATTTCGCTCACTCGAAATTTCTGCATATTCATACAGAAGAACAGATATCATATAACAGTTAAGGACTCTTCCTCTCTCAAAAACAATTTGAAAAAACAAACATTTGAAGCTGATTGCGTGGCTGAGTAGCGTAGACTCGTTTTGTTCAGATAAAATCAAGTTACCCTTTCATTATTCACCTGGAAATTTCGATTTTGACCCAACCAGTATAATTTACTCCTATTTGACGACTGCTTCTTTGGAGATTTCAATGAAGGCGTCAACATGCGTTGAAGTTCAAAAGCGTTACAACATTAATAGCTCGTTAGATTATCTTGTCAGCAAATACAACATGTCCGGACACCCATTAATGGGATTAGCATTGTTGTTTATAGTGATTTTTTTTCTCAATTTTTTGTTCATTAATTTCCTTCTTTCTCCTTTTTTTCTTCTTCACGTATTTTTTCATTCATTTTATTTTATTTCCTTCTTTTTTTTCATTCGTCGTCCATTATTTTCTATTTCGTCTCATCTTTCGTTTCATTCAATCTCGTGATTATATCATTCACTTTCTTTATTCAATCTTCTGATTATATTCTTTCTTTTTTTCTTCTTCACGTCTTTTTCGTTCATTTTACTTTATTTCCGTTTTTTTTTTCATTCGTCGTTCATTGTTTACCATTTCTTCTCAATTTTCGTTTCATTCATCTCATGATTATATTTCTAATTATTTTTTTTCTTTTTCTTTCTTCTATCCAACTTTTATTTAAATAGAAGTGCAAAAAAATAGAGTCTGATGTCTACCTCTTCATTTGAAGTCCTATGAAGTCTACAAAACTTGCAGTCCAGAGATATCCCAGAACTCTCCACCACCGAGCAGACCCTGAGTTTTTTTTTCTCCAATTATGATGAACGGTTGGACTGTGAATGAGGCACTTTACCTTGAATGTCTACTGGGACACTTCACACCAGACCTCAAGTGAAACCTCTGTATACGAGCCGTAGCTAAAGAGGCTGCCCCAGGAAGTACTTGAATCCACTTGTCACGCCCTATCTTTACAAGAGTCAGATCCGACCAAAAAATGAGTATAGCTCCCATAACTGTTCAAACCTCACTTTTCAGCCTCGACAGAGTTCCAGGGCGTTTTCGTGGCCTTGGCTGATGCCAGTCTTTCACAGTTCAATAATGATTTTCACGAACCCGGCAGAAGCACAATAACCGCGTTGTCAATATTGTTACTTTTGTTGGTTGATGAATGCGCAACTCGATGGAATGCGCTTTTAGCTATAAAACACGCTGAATGATAGCTTGAGTAGCAACAGTGATACGATTTGATTTAATCCCTTTGCGTTTTTTTTTTTGTTTTTTTTTTTTTTGCGGGAGTGGGGGGGTTCTTTGGGTTGGTTACCATCCTTGTCCAATATCGTGGTTGTCTGTTAATTTGACATACCGCTAATGCCGGTTTTGAATTCACATATTTTCTTGTCCTTCCTATGTTACAGTTGTCTTAGAAAAACTTATAGCATTTAGAACGTCAGAGACAGCGTGTCCCAGTTATAATTCTCTGATAAATTGGTTGAAATCCCTGTGCGCACCCCTATATTTTGCCACAGCTACCCTAGGTCTTTTGATATTACGTCACTTGTACATTACAGAGTTCATTTAACAAAATATTGGAGGTGAAATCATCAAATGTCCTGCTGTGTTCTACTTTCTTTGCACTTTCTTTCTCTTTTTTTATTTTTCATTTTGCTTTTCATTTCTCTCTTTGTATTTTTTATAAACTAGTTCAAAGAGTATCAAATTTCAAATATAAATTTTTGTCTATTTAAAATACAACATTTATTAGAAAACATTCAGTTTAAACACAGAAGGAGTTCCTAAAATGTCTTCAAAGGGTCGACTTATTCTCTCTTCCTATTGCCCACATGTTGCTGTCAGGCAAAAAGGAAAATTAACAGATACAGATGCACATTTCAACTTAATTCAAATTTTGTGTGTATGTTTTTGTGTACGCATGTATAATTTAATTCAGTGACATGCCCAAGAATATTTTTTTAAATTTTTTTTAATAATTCTATTCGTGAATAATTACCGAAAATTTTAATAAAATCTTATAATTATCTGATTTCTTGGGTTTAAAAAATTACCTTTTTTTTCTTATCGCCAAATTTATAATTTTATTTCTCACTAAAGGGTAGATTGGTCCAGACTGAGTGCGATGGTATTATATTATTCCAAATTGTGTGGATGTGTGAGTTCGTGTGTCCACAATAAATAGTATACAGAAACGCATAAGAGTCTCTCATGCGCAACCCAGACATACGGAAATGTTTTACATGCGCGCATGCACAGATAGTGTGTGTGACGGACAGCGAATCCGCTTTTTATGCTAATATAGATTATTAACATTATTTACATTATTCGGACTATTGTCTTCATCTTTGTCGCCATATTTATACAACGTTTTGGCTGTTGTACGCTCTGGCCTTCTTCAGGTGGTTGGAATGTCGAACTGAAGCCTTTATTTTCGCTCACTGGTGTAGACTGTTCTAGTTCCACCTGACATGTTTAATGGATGTCATTTATCAGTCATCTCCTGTTAATTTTCCCTCTGAAAGTTCTCCACTGCCTTAACCGGGTATTGAACTCACTCTTTGGGTCCTGTCACTGGATCTAACCAATGCCTTTATCCACCGTGCCATGTGTCCTTGAGGTGGTTGGAATGTCGAACTGACACATGGTACATTTTGTGGTCTCACTTTCATTCATTCAATCTTTATATTTCATCTTTCTTTTCAACAATCAGACATTTCTTCGCCTTTTTTCGTCTTTTTTTCGTTCTTGTCTTCTGTTTCCTCTTTTCTTCTTCTTCCTCTTTATTTGTCTTTTTTCATTTTTTCTTTTTTTCGTCATCTTTTCCCTCTTTACTTGTCTTTATTCCACTTTTTCTTTTTCGTCTTCTTTTCTTCGTTTTTCGTCATCTTTTCCCTCTTTACTTGTCTTTTTTCCACTTTTACTTTTTTTTTCCATTCCTTTTTTCTTTTTTCGTCTTCTTTTTTCTTCGTTTTTTTTTTCGTCATCTTTATTTGTCTTTTTTCCTCTTTTTTTTTTTTTTTTCGTTTTTGTTTTTTTTTCCTTTTTCTTTTTTCTTTTCTTTCTTTTCCCTTTTTTCCCCTTTTTTTTTCCACATATTTTTTTTTTTTTCTTTTTTTTTTACTTTTCACTTTCTTTTCACTTTCTCTATTTTCTTTTGACCACTCTTTCTCATCCCATTTGCTTCGTCACTCCTTATCGATCTTTTTTTTATTTTCAACCAATCATCTTTCAGTAAAAATAAATCATTTCGAACGAAAGCTAATTTAATCTACCCTAGGGTAAATTGACAGAAATTCTGTCTTATGGAATCTTCATTTTGGACGGGTGGGTTTTGGGTAAAAAAACTTAAACCTCTTTACAAAGTTTTTTTTAATTTTTTTTTCAAATCTCAAACAAGACAAGGTTAAGTGGGGTGATGTCGTTAGACGTGATCCTTGACTCAATGACTACGTGGAAAATAAATGTATTTGCCAACGAGCGATGTTTTTTAACTCCTGAAGCAAAGAGAATCTATACTATTATTGCTTGCTTGAATTTACGGTCATTACGTTTTTCTACCTAGAATCAGAGTGTAGTACCTGTTCAATCATCGGAACTTTTGAAGAGAAATAGGTTCCGCTTTGTCATTGAGCTGAGAGTAAATTATCAGATAATAAAACAAAAATAATGTGCAATTATTATCCACGAAAATAAAAGCATATAACAGGATGAAGAACTATAATATGTCCCCGATGACATCTAATTGCTACACAACAGGGATATACTGGTAGTGTAACAGTTATCGACACGAATAGTGGTATCGGCGAAGTAAATTCAAATTCCGGCATTTCTCCTTGAAACTAATGCCCTTTGGAAAAAGAAAAAACCCGTGTATTCTCCTTCAAACGATGACTTAAATAGCAGCGTAGGCTGGTTTCTCTAAAAGAAATCTTTGAATTGAAAAAATAGTGAAAAAAAAAACAACTTCATTATCTGTCCCAAGTATCCATCCATGACAACAGTCAATAAAGAGAAAGACACAGATGGGAGCCAAGATAGCCTACGGCCCGCAGGAGATAGGAATTAAACAGATATATACGATGTATGCGTAGCGTGGCGCATATCGATTCGGCAAATGGGATTGACGTGCCGAGTTCAAATGCCAGCCCAAGACATTGCTTTTACATTTGCACAATTCTCCTCTTTTGGTCGGCCCACTTTTCGAGATTAATGGGAGTTAAAGAATTAAGATCAAAGTTGGTTGGCAACCAATGTAAGAGAAGGAAAGCACTGAAATTAAAGCTTGCTCAACGTGAAGCTACCAAATCCATCCAGTAAAATCATACAAAAAGCCATCGTTGTGAGGTTATGTCAACAGGATTTAAATTCATATATATATATATATATATATATATATGTGTGTGTGTGTGTGTGTATGTGTGTGTGTGTGTGTCTGTGTGTGTGTGTGTCTATATTTCTTCTGAGATGAGGTATTATGGTCAGCATTTACATTATTCGGATTATTGTCCTCATCTATGTCGTTAGTTAGATCCAGTGACAAGGCAGTGGAGAACATTCAGAGGGAAATTAACAGAAGATAACTGATAATTGACATCCATTAAACATGGCACGTGGAAATAGAACAGTCTACCCCAGTGAGCGAAATAAAGGGTTCAGTTCGACATTCCAACCACCTGAAGAAGGCCGGAGCGTACAACGGCCGTAACATTGTAATAAATATGGCGAAAAGATGAGGACAATAGTCCGAATAATGTAAATTATATATATATATATATATATATATATATATATATATATATATATATATACGACTAGTTTCATGCTTTCAAATCATCGACATTTTCACGAATCATCAGGTACTGATGATTACTTTGATTTCATGGGTATTATGTATATTTTTAATATATACTTAATAGGTCTGTCATTTCATGCAATCATCAGGCACTGTTTCATATGAACACTTACACGTACAATTTATATTTATCCATCAGGTAATATATATATATATATATAGGTTGTCCCAAGAAACGTGATCATTTTAAAAGATTATCTTGAAAACTGAAAGCTTTGAACAGTTTACGTGTTGAACATCATAAGTTTATTATGAGACCGATTTCTAAGTGTTCAGTATGTGCACCGACTGTGTTACGGTATGCATCAAGTCAGTAGTTAAACACGCTGTAGCATGTTTCCAGCAATATATATTAATAGGTCTGTTTGAGTTCATTTACCATTCAACCCAGTTTTTATCCCCATTAAAAAAAATCACACGGCATAGGTGTATCCATAGATATATATATATAAAATATATCTGTTTGTGTGTGTGTGTGTGTGTGTGTGTGTTTTTTGGGGACACCACATGTGTGTATATATATATATATATATATATAATGCCTAACGTCGACATTACGACTCGGAGTTTCATGCTTTCATGCAATCATCAGGCACTGTTTCACGCTTGGTGCAATCATCAGGTACTGATGATTACTTGATGATTTCTTAAACGTACATTCATTTATATTTATCCATTTACCATTCAACCTGTTTTTCTTACATTGAATGATAATATATATATATATATATATATATATATATATATATATATATATATATATATATATATATAGGTTGTCCCAAAAAACGTGGCATCATTTTAAAAGCAATTATCTTGAAAACTACTAAAGCTAGAAATTGAACAGTTTACGTGTTGAACATCATAAGTTTATTATGAGACCGATTTCATAAGTGTTCAGTATGTGCACCGACTGTGTTACGGTATGCATCAAGTCAGTAGTTAAGCTCTTGCCAAACACGCTGTAGCATGTCTCCAGCAATATTATCAAGTGCGGAAGTGATTCTCTGTTTGAGTTCATCAATGCTAACATGAAGAGGGTGGGGACATAGACCAGTTCCTTCACATATCCCCATAAAAAGAAATCACACGGGCATAGGTCTTCATCTCCACCACGCCCGATCCATCTCTCTGGCAGATTCGCATTGAGACAAGCGCGTACTATCCTCTTCCATTAAAATCTTGATCTGTTTATATACATCTGTGAAAATTTAGGGTTATTTCAACAAGAATTGCTAAAATTATTGGCTTGTGAAATGATGTCAATTTTTGGGGACACCACATATATATATATATATATATATATATATATATATATATATATATATATATATATATATATATATTATGAGACCGGAAACTACACACACAATAGACTCTTCCAGGCCTATATTAAGTAGGCGACATAGCACTCTAGAGAGTGACAGAGAGAGACATAGAGAGACAGTGAGAGCCGCGTACGACTACCCGTATTGGACACTAACATATAGTAAGCTCTGCTTATACTATCTCTGTAACCTGTTGTTAATATATCTTTCTTACATCTAATCCGTGTTCCGTGTTTTCCTTCTGTGGTCTCAACTTTGGCCCCACATCAATATATATATATACATTTCATTGAATACGACAGACAAAGTGCTTTTATTTAGTCTTTTATACAATTTCTCATGCGATCTAATAATTATTTCTTTTCGGGTGATATATTATATAAAAACTGTCCGGGTTAAGTTTAGGGTAGTTTTAAGACCAGAAAAGTATTTTGTTGACATTGTTAGATTAAAAAAAAATGAGATCAGCCTAATACGGTAAGGCTGGAAATAGCGATTCATTGAAGAACGTTTTCTCGTTGAGACTTTTACGAATCTATATCAGGCGTCTTAGTGGCATTATCGCCTTGCTAAGGTCTAATAATCAAAAAATAATAATAAATACAAAGAAACAGTAAATAAGTCAAATAAATTAAGCGAAAATAAAATAAATTACTTCTAACCTTTGCCACCCCCAGCTTCAAAATTGGCATTCAGAATGTTTGCATATAACCTGTGTAGTATAAACAGAAGTTAACTGTTTCCAATGAAATGATCAAATGACAAAAATAAACACAATCACGCAAAGGTTCCACGCAGCCTTTCAGTTTCAAATTTTCAAATTAATAAAAATAAAGAATAGCCAATAAAATCAGCTCCCGCCATTAAATAAACATAGGCTTCTGGAGCCTGAATGAAGCCATATAAACTAGACATCCATTAAATTCAGCAATGTGGCTGACAGCAGTAAAGAGACACGAGTTAACCTCGTCGTATTGTCTTTCTCGTCAAATCAATTGTGGATTCCCTTTGATCTTGTTTCCCAACTCCATTTTCTGTCCTTCTCACTGAAAGCCTATTAATGTTCCTTAAATTAATTTTCCTTTTCATTCAGAGAAAAAAACTTTCTAAATACAAACTTTTATTTCGTGATAGTAGGTACACTTAAGAAATAAATATCGCCATTTTATTTGAACTCGCAACAAACCTTTCTCTCATATTTTTTATTCAACAAACGGTGACTCATGGAATCTTTCCCCGACATCTGCTTATTCTCAGAACTTTGCGAAAGCATCTCATAATTGAATGATGAAATGAAAGAAGGAAAAACATTTGGCCATTAAAATAATTCATTTTAACCTTCTTCAAAATGATTTTTGCAGCAGATTAATGAAGCCTACAAAATGGAAATGACAACGGGTCAGGTTTAAGGTAGTTTTAAGACCAGAAAAGTATTTTGTTGACATTGTTAGATTAAAAAAATTAAAAATGAAGTCCGATGTATGTCGACTGAAATATTACAATGCAGATAATGACAAAGGTAAACTGCAGACATTTTTCAAAACGTGACTCAGCAAGGCTAGCGGAGATTAAATCATTCACTTCGGCCATTTTGATTCTACACGGACATCCGGGTGTTTGAAAAGATTCTTTTCATAAATATAAAATATAAAACACGCTCGCCATAATCGTTTTTTCTTTTCCTTTTTTTAATCATTCCACACCCGAGTAAGACGATAAAACCACGAAGACGCAAGTGGTTACTGAGTGTGAAAGAATATGAGAAAAAGAAAAACATTACTAAGAAGAAAGAACAAATAAAAAAAAACTGGATAAAGTAGACAACGATTGACATTGCATTTTTTGAACATCAAAGTTGCCTGGAAAGCATGAAGCCGGAAGAGAGTTTTTTCAGAAGGGAGAAGTGCGAGAGAAGAAACTGTTAGCATAGGACTTACGGTTACATCCAGCAATATCAACTGTAAAATGATGAGACCTA